CCTGTGATGAGTCAATTAAACACAAGTAAATATTTTTCTGGTATCTGGCAGCTCCCTGTCGATGTCCTGCTGCAACCATTATTGGATGATCTTCAGCACAATTTTACTTGCATCTGATATTAATGATAATGTTTTATTTGAGCATTCTATTGGTTAACTTTGCTTTGGAATCGGTAAAAATTTGGATCTTATCCAGTCAGTTGGCCCAGGAGCTGTCTTCCAAATTTCCTGGCATAGGTGAATGAGTGTTTCTAGGGCTTCATCAGCTGTTGAAACCTTTCCAGTGGGATTCCATCAACTCCTGGAATCTTGTTTTTGACTGATGCTTCCAGTGCAGCTTGGATTTCTTCCTGAAATACCATTTTTGAAGCTGCCTTGTAGTAAGATTGATTTATGGGAAAATGTGGTATGAAAAAGTGCCTAGCTGAGTGAACCATCTATTATGGAATGGATGGTTTCCCCCCACAAATAGGTGTCCATTTGGCTAGGCCATGGTCCTCAGTATGACGTAGTCATACTCCATTTTTTTTACCTAGTCTGGTCATCCTATGTGCTGTGAAGTCTGATCTCTCTGATGTTGTTGGTGTTAGGTGCCATTCAGGTGGTTCTGACCCGTAGTGACGCTATGCACAACAGAGCGAAATGCAGGACAGTCCTACACCAACCTTACAATTGTTCCTATGCCTGAGCCTGTTGCTGCAATCTTGGTGCCAGTCTATCATGTTCAGGGCTCTTCTCTCTTTTGCTGCCCCTTCACTTTGCCAAGCATGAAGTCCTCTTCCAGAGACGGTTCTTGCCTGACAATATGCCCAAAGTTTGTAAGACAAAGTCTTGCCATCCTTACCTCTAAGGAGAACTCTGGCTGCACCTCTCCCAAGACAGATCCGTTTGTCCTGTAAGTAGTCCATGGTACTTTCAATATGCTTCTCCGGCCCCATGATTCAAAGGCATTGATTCATCGTCAGTCTTCCGTACTCAATGACCAACCTTCACATGCATACAAGGAGATGGACAAGACTATGGCTTGCCAGGCATACCCTAGTCCTCAGAGTAACATCCTTGCTTTTCAATACTTTCAAGAGGTCCTTGGCTGCAGATTTATATAAAGCAACATAACATGTCTTTTGATCTCTTGGTGGAAGCTTCCATGAGCATTGATGGTGAATCCATGTAAGACAAAATCCTTGACAACTTCAATCTTTGCTCCATTTATCACGATGTTACCTAGTGGCTCAGTGGTGAGGATTTTGGTCTTTGTTACATGCTAATGCGGGCATAATTAGTAGCAGTTATATTCACGAAGTAGGATTCTATCTACAGATTCAGTTATATTTTGAATACATTTATTTTGATATGTTAAAGGGGCTAAACAATCAAGAAAATAGATCCTAGAGGAGAGTACATCTTTTGGACCCAGAACGACTGTGCTGGGGACCTCCTAGAATAAGAGGAGGCAGAGAGAGTGCCTTCCACTACAGCCAGCACTCGAAACTCAGATGCAGAACCTGCTGAACTGTGAGAGAATAACTCTTGCTGTGTTAACACCATCCACTTGTTGAGTTTTTGTTTCAGTGTTACCAGGAAGCCTAGACACCCTCCTTGGGCACAACTGAAGGAGACAGGGTGGGACTCTCAGGTGGTGTATGCTGAATTGGAGGCAGCTATTCTGAGAGGCAGCGTGCCAGTGGTTTAGTGGGTTACATTTTGGGTTGACCGACTGCAAGGTCAGCAGTTTGAAACCACCAGCTTGGCTGAGAGCGATAGATGAGGTTTTCCACTCTCACAAAAGGTTACACGGTCTCAGAAACGCACAGGGTTCCTTCTTCTCTGTCCCCTAGCGCCATTGTGGGTTGTCATCAACGTTATGGCAACAAGGGAGCTCCGAGAGGCAACAGACTCTCATAAAGGCCTTTTGGGAGACCGTGATATGCTCATAGGAAACAGCAAGGGTGGATCCCTGCAATCAGGGCAGAAGGTTCAGAGGCACAGATCCACTTGACTTGCCCCCCCCCCCAAAAAAAAAAAAAAAACCCAACTGTAGTGGTAGGTCGTTGGAAATGTGAATTTGCATTATGGTGCAAAGAATATGGTACATGCCCTGGACTCCCCAAATGCACTGACAACCCTGTCTTGGAAGAATTCCAGCCCAAGTGTTCCTTAGAAGTAAGCGAGCATGGTGATGCTTTATCTCAGGTGCTTTGGACATGGGATCAGGAGAGACCCGTCCCTGGAGCAGACATTACGCTTGCCACCAAGAAAGCGGACGGCTCTCAACAAGATGGATTGACACGTTTGCTGAACCTAATAACAACAACCTTCTGCATGGTGCTGTCATGATAGGCACCTGAAACCATGCATTTGTCAAAACCCATAGGCTTGTACAATCCAGAGTGTGAACCCTATTTAAAACTGTGTATGTTAGTTAATAGCAACAGTGTCTCCATATTGATTCATCAGTTGTAACGAAGGTACCACACCAATGAAATATATTAGTAATAGGAGAAGCAGAGGGGGGAGGGAGGCATATGTAACTCTGTGCTTTCTTCATTGTCTGAATAAACCGACGCTGCTCGGTTTAATTTTCAATTAAAGACTAATTGAAAATAAATAAAAACATGGAGGAGAGGCTGCCCCCTGGGAGTATCCCAACACTACACACTATCCAGAAGGAGCCCTGGCGATGTGGTCCCCCACTGGCTGCGATCCTCAAGGATGCAGCTTGACATCACCTGCTCTCGGGGCAGTTCTACCCTGTCCTGGAGGGTCACCAGAGCTCAGAATCACCTGGAGGGCAGTGAGTTGGTTTGGGTGGGGAAACATGATCAAAAGCAGTGTAAAGAGATAGGCAGCAGATAAGGACACGGGGCAGGGACGAAGCCGGGAAGTGTTCACACTTGCCAAGTGAGACTTCCTGAGTGAATCTCAACTCAGGGGCAACTCGGGGCTGTGCCGTGTAAGACATTCTATGCTTCGTAGCTCCCTGGGAATTCAGTTTCCAGTGTAGTCCACAGGCAGTTTGTCTGTTAGGGAGCTTTGGTCCTGTCCATGTTCATTTGGAGGTCGCGTCCCTCCTGGCCCTGTGTACTCCCAGATTGATCGCTATCGTCAGACTCTCCTGCTCAGACCTCCAAGGAGGCGTGCCTTCATTCACCTGGACATATCTTGGAAGAAAGGAGAACACTCAGAATGTTCCTTAGTGGCAAAGATGGCAAGACGTCTGCTTATGTCCTTTGGACATATGATCAGCAGAGCTCCTTCCCGGTAAAAGAGCATCACGCTTAGGAAGGTGTAGGGGCAGGGAAAGAGAGGAGGATGCTCCCCAAGATGGACTGACTCAGTGGCTCCGACATAAGAGCCATCGTGAGGATGGCGCAGGTGCGGACAGTGTTTGCTTGTGCCCTGCACAGTGTCACTATGAATTGGAAATGAATCTACAGCACTTGACAACAACAACAGCCCTGAAATGTGACAACAATACCTACTGGTGTGATTCACCTGGGCAACCTTTGCAAAAAGGAGAGGGTCTCCCCCTGAGTTGGGCGAGAGCCCTCAGCTCAGGTTGGAATATGGTGGATGGAGGTAAGGGTGAGGCAGGCACAGGAAGATGCTGGTGGCACTGTAAGGCGAGGGCTGTGAGTTATAGTGGAACAGAAACAGGCTGAAACCAGAAACATCAGGATGCCTGCCGTCTTAGGGAAATATTCCCCGAGCCTCTGAACATGGGCACCGATGTGAACGAGAACCAGAGAGAAGAAATCTCCATTTCAAATGTGGGGCTGAGACAGTAGCTCTGAGCTGCCGAGTTGTCGTACATTCACTCCATACTCATCAAAAGTGCAGTAATTTCGAGCAGTTCAGTATTTAGAATCAATTGTGTAATTCATCCCGATGTTTCCCATTCATCAATGCCTTGTGTTTGTTTGTATCGCCAGGAGAAAAATAAAAACACGGGGAGACAAGATCCCCTCTCCTTTCGTTACCAGCAAATTACCACAGAGTTACAACCCTAGGGGCCTTCAAGCAAAAGAACATCTTGCTTCAATTAGATATAAATAATGAACAATAATTAGAAAGATTTCTTCATCGAATTTGTTACTTTATGTTTCCTTTCATCTGTAATGTATTGAACTGAGCTCTGGGTCTGGGCCGGTAGCAGGGCCTGAATGAACATCACTGTGGAGTGAGTCTCTGGAGAAGGAGGCCCTCCCTGGCCGGACTATGTCTTCCTTTCCCAAAGGGCACTTGGGATGCTATGACACTTCCCCAGGGCATTCCTCCTTGCAACATGGACCTGGCCACTGCCACCCATCTCTCCTCAGTGGACAAGAGTTCACAAAACAAAGGTCTTAGGGGTGCTTTATACTTTCTTCATTTGGTGACCCATATGGCATCTTATAAATAGGATTAAACCTTCACATTTCAGTTCGTGTCATTAACAAATTCTGGTTTCTTTGTTTTCTTGAAACACAGACTTGGTAGGGGTGACGTTTCCAAGCACATATCTAATACAACTGCAGAATTGCTGTAGGCTCGGGAGGGGATGCAGTCCTTGAACATACCTGCCCCACGCTGGCCCCGAGGGGCAAGAATCCCAGGAGCAGCATCATGAATCTCCCCAACGTGTTCCGTTTTATTTTTTCTTGCTCTTGTTGGAGGCACTCAGGGATGGCCTCTCATTTTTGCCCTATTTTATATTGTGATGATCTGTTTATAGATCTACTTCCCCTATTAATCTATAAGCGCTTTGAAGGTAACAACCTGACCTCATTATCTCCCAAGCTCTACACAGGACTTGGTTTTATTTCGTGCGTCTGTGGCGAGGAAGTGTTATTGTGATCGGATGAGTTCATCATCTGGCGTGCTCACGAGGCTAAAGTCAGCTCCCTGCAGACTGGGAAGGAAGGTGCCTGGTGGGCAAGGCAAGGCAGGACCGAAGGAGGGGCAGCTGCAGTGTGGTTGCGCAGCACGGACCCACATTTTGCTGTCTTTCTGCCTTCCAGGACATTCCAGGACCTGTCCAAACAAGTGGACCTCTCCTACGGTACGGTCCGGGACTCTGCTGTGTATGAGTATTTCCGTGCCAAGGGCACCAACCCCCTGGAACAGGACAGTACTTTTGCAGAGCTCTGGCGGACCATCAGCAAGAACGGCGGGGCTGACAACTGCGTGTCGAATCCCTCAGAAGGCATTCGCAAGGTAGGTGGAAGGGACATCTGGGCTAGTGAAAGGCAAGGGTGGGGTCGAGGCTGCATGCTCTCTGAGGCAGGAGTCGCCTCTGAAGGATCCTCCACCTCTGCAGGCAGAGGTGATGTCAAGGCAGGAGATCTACAATGGAGACATGGGGATCCCTCAGGGGACGACCCCGTTCTCAGTACCAGACACAGAGGGGCTATGTGGTATGTGTTTTCCATGTTCCTCCCGTGTGGATGGCAAGCTAATACCAGGAAGAATGAGCCCAGGCCCTGGGCCTAGCTGTTCAAAATCTCTCTAGGGTTGCTGGAAAGAGGAGCCTGTCCACTCTGATGTGGGGTGATGGGTGGGAAATGAAGAGTGAGGGGGTGGGGACTTGTGAGAGTGTGAGAAACTGGGGCCAGGGTGAGGAGGGCTCCATGCCTCCTGTAAGAAGCACTGGACAAGGCTCCGCCAGTGGGTGGGTCTGCAGCACTGTGCGCTGGAGAAGGGTGCGTAGGGAGGGTGTTCAAGACATAAGCCCAGAATGGAGGTGCTACGTATTTGTGAGCAAGTGTAGGAGGTGATGGTGGAGAGAGGCGGGGGTTGGTGAGAGAAGGGTAGAGAAAGGGCACCAGGTCACTTGACAGTATGTCAGACACTATTAATTGCGGCTAGTTTCTCACCATAATGGGAAGTAAGCATGATCATTCCATTTCACAGAAGGGCATCAGACGTTTGGGGATCAACTCCTTGTTACTTGTGGACTCGTAGACTGCTTGAGTTCGGGATGAGGATTTTGGCATTTCTTCACCAAGTGTTAGGGAATTCTTCAAGGCCTTTGGGAAAGAAAAGGGTGGGCTAAAGACAGTCGTAGACTTTCCTTATTGCTTTTCTGTTCAGTGACCCCATGTCCCCATGGGTAATGTCTCTGAGGTCTTCTGTGGAAAATTCCAGAAAGCGGTGCAGCTGCATGGTTAGAGCTATGTTTCTCTGAGAAGACTGGCTGGCCATTCTGCTTCCTATTCAATCCCTACCCATCGATTCTAACGCTGTGGCCTTTGTGCATGCACATGCTCATGCGCACAAACACACACACACACTCACATGTTCACAGACTTACCATCCTCGTATACGTGTTTACGTGTGCATGCCTAGAGTCAGACACATTCACTCACAGGTGCTCACTTGACATTCAGTGACACACACTAACACACTCACTGTGTACCTCATGCACACACACACACACCATCTTGTAACACACACATACATGTAACATTCACCTATCCACATTAACACACTTGCTCACATGCACATATACACATGCGCAGACATATTCTCACACATATATGCAAACAGCACATACCCACATATTCATATGTGCTCACGTGCTCTCCATCCAAAGCTATGTGGTAATGGCCTGTTTTTAATGCAGAAGGCAGTAAGAAGCAAATGATTTGTGGCAACGAAGGTCCATGCCCCTGTTCATGATGAGAAGGTTCCTCAGAAATTTGGCAAGCCCCTGGTGATAGTCTGGGTACTTTAGAGAAACAAATCCACAGAAACTCATGTATAAGAGAGAGTTTTATAGAAAGGGTAAGTGCACATCGAGAAAACATCCCAACCCAGTGCTGCCCAAGCCCACAAGTCCAACATTAACCCATATGTCCGATGTCCGACACCAGTCCACAAAATCCTCCTCCATCTCACAAAACACACACAATGATGCCGAGTACAGGAGGAAATCCGAATCAGTGAATGTGTAAGCATCTCAGCGCTGGCAGGGGTCTCCACAAGGCTGCTCCAGCACCCAGGGCTGCATCGGGGTAGGTCCATGTGGCTTCTCCTTGGGGGTGTCTTGCAAGAAGTGAGTCTTGCCAGCTGAAGCAGGGAATTGGCTAAGGAAGGTGCACCCTGGTCCTACCATCAGATAGCAAGAGACCCGAGAACTCGAAAGGCAAGGCTCACCGAGCCATTTATCCCTCTACCCTTCACTTAACCCCACATGTGTTTATCAGCCAGGTTGGCACAATAAGCTAACTACCTCACCCCTTCCAAAAAGGCCTGCTCATGCCAGAGAGGGGCAGGGACCTGAGCCCGTCTTCGGAAGGAGCTCAGGATCTGTTCAGTGGAGAGTGTGACACTGGCTCATGGATCCTTCAGGGAGTCCCCACTGGGAGGGTTTTTCTCTGAAAGAAATATACAGATTGGAGTGACTTTTCTTTGTTGCATGGCCTTGAGGTACAGCAGACAGTATCTGAACTTTGGGGTCTGATGCATTTAGATGTGGATTCCAGTTCTGAGACTCACTAATTGTGTAAATTGAGCTTGTTCCTCTCCTTCCTTGGGACTTCCCAGAGTTCAGAGAAGCCCCAACAACTTTTTGTTTGGGGATCTTGTTAGCCACCGTATTTTAAAATATGGAGGTTTTAGTTGTTGATATCCAGCAAAGTAATACTTTAACAGGAGGAGTGGAATGCAAATATAACTGTGCTATTCACATGTTTACAAGAATTATTAAAACCTCTTTATTCTTAGTATGTGACAAATGGTGGTGTGCTGACCTCAAGCTGCAGGGGATGCTTGCTTTTGTGCCACTAAATCTTGGTGGGTCATGGTGACCTCATTTAGAGATAATGAATGAAAGTTTATTTAATGTCTCTTATGAATGTCAAGAGCTGGACCAAATGGCTCGTCTGCTTTCTCTTGTAGAAAGGCAGCTCTTCCGGTCATGTGGGCTTCTAAAAAAGATTCATTGCTGCAGTGCTACAACAAGTACTGCTTATCAGAAAAGGATAACTACATTTGACTTTATTAAACTTCTGTTCATTATAAGGCAGTTGGAGGAAAATATAAAAGATAAGACACAAACAGCCTAGAAGGAAAACTTCATTACGTATATTAACAATATGGAATTGATATCGTAAATATCTCAAGAATTTTCACAAATCAATAAGAAAAGTTCAAACAATTTAATAGAAAAATGGGCAAAAGACTTACACAGGGATTTTTTTTTTTTTTTTTTTTTGCAGAAGTGTAGACATAGATGATCAATAATCCTAGGGCGATACTTAAAAAATCATATATGATCCAGGAGATACAGATCAAGACCACAAAGATACCAATGAGATTGGCAAAAACAGAGTTGGTAGAGTAGAGTTGGTTTCATAGATTCTTTGTTGATTTGGGGAGTGTTTGTTCATATACACTGTAAGCAAACAATTCCATTTCAAGGAATGCACCCAAGGAAATGGCATGGTGGAAGGGGGCGGTCATGTCTGACACCCTCTGGCTCCACAACGGGCAGGAGAATCCAATTCTCCACTAGCTAAATGCCGGTTCCTGGCAGGCAGAGGCTGGGCATGCCTCCTCCTTTACATTATCTTGACAACCACCTTCCCTGCCACAGCACTCTATTTCCCTGCTGGGTCTGATCATCCACCACATGGGGCACCTAGACTTTACATTCATTCATGTGGATGGGGCTTAGTAGGCCACAGAATGTTAAGGATGATGTTCTTTTGTCTGCAGAGCCTTTTCTCGGCCATGCTGCCAGGCTCCCCTCTCTCTGGTTCTCGTCCTCTGGGCCACGTGGTCCCTTGGCCTCGGTCAGTGCTTGGGCATGTGTTACAACGTTCCTGTAGTGCTAGTGAGGAATCAATGACACCCGCTTGAAATGCTGCCTCGTGCCTGAAGGCATTCAAATGTACTCGTTCTGATTGCTGTACACAGGGGCCTCGGACATATTCCTCTTCTGGCTCTCCTTTCTTGGCAGTCATAAGTGTCTCTCTTCCTGTCTTGAAGAGGTCTCCCTTTATACCCAGTTGCAATGGTCTTATTGGTCTTCCCCCACCAGTCATTTGGATAGAAGATCTATCCCAGGTAATTTCACCGCAGTGCCCAAAGTAAACTCGGGCATCAAATGAACTGCAGAGGAAAATAAAGGCCATATAGCATGGCTTATAGAGTCCCCAATCCTGGAACCAATCCACAGGATCATTAACAAGGAAAGCTATTGTCTACCATGACATGGAGGAGCTCACACTCATGCAAATGGTTTGGCTGGGTCATAGCCAATTAAGATTGATTTTTAAAACATTAAAAAGGCAACTTCATGTCATTTAACTAATAGGAAATAGCACTGAGCATTGTGTTATTGGCAGGTGCCGCCAAGTTGGTTCTGACTTCTAGTGACACTACGGACAACAGATGAGACAGTTAAAGTTTATTGTGCCATCCTGGCCGATAAACACATGTGGGGTTAGTTGAAGGGCAGAGAGATAAGTGGCTCGGTGAGCCTCGCCTTTC